TTCTTCAGTTCTTTCAGCTTGAGAAATGCAGAGTGTGCCCGTGCCTTTTGGTTTCATAACTCAGGTCTTTGCACAATTCATTATAATACTTCACTTGCTCTTTTCGAGCTGCCCTTTGAAATCTCCTGTTCAGCTCTTTGATTTCATCATTTCTTCTATTCGCTGTAGCTACTGTCTATTCAGGGGCAAGATTCAGAGTCTCTTCTGACCTCCATTTGGGTCTTTTCTGCCTGTCCTGTCTTTTTAATGACCTCTTGCTTTCTTCATGGATGAAGTCCTTGATGTCATGCCATGATACTGTTAGGGCATGTGATTTCAATTAAAATACGCAGCAGAGCAGTTGGTCTAGAGGGCACAGTCTGATCTTCAGATAGTTAAATAACAGCAGACACTTTGTTTCATTCTCTTAACGAAGGTATTAAGTTTAAATACAGTTTCAGCTTTTAAAGTCCCTGATTTATGCATTGTGCCACAATCTGGCAAAGAGCACAGACGGGGCCACTTACACACAACTCACTGGTTTAGGTAAAAAGAGTTTCTATGTTGAAAAGAAAGAAACGTCTAAGTTAACTGTGTTTCCAAGAATGTCCAGAAGCATGAAAAGTTGAGTGTTATGAGTAAAGACAAAGCACACAGAGAAAGTGTTACTTATCTATTTTGCTTTTACTATTGGTTATTTTTTCATTGCTGGTCACCGAACAGTGTGGCTAATGTACCACATTTGCACTCAACAAGGTGCTGGTTTTAGAGCTGGGTCAGGAGGTAGGTAGCTGGCTGCTGTGGGGCACACTCTGATTCACGACCACCTTCTGTGCGACAAACTGAAGCGGTGCCCGGTCCCGTTTCACCCTCATGATCGCACCGTGTCCCCAGCCCACTGCTGCAGCCGCTGTGCTGGTCCACCTCGTCGAGGGCCTCCCTCGCTCTCACCAGCTCTCTGCTTAACCAGCCGTGATGTCCTCATCCCGCGAGCGGTCCCTTCTGACGCCCCATCCACAGCGAGCCATTGTGACCCACAGAGTTTTCCATGGCTGTTTTCCGGAGCAGGCTGTCAGGGCTTTCTTCCTAGTCTGTCTCAGTCTGCACGCCGTGGCATCTTCCCAGCATCGTAGCACCACAGAAGCCACCGCAGTCCACCGACTGACAGTTTGGCGGGGTTCTAGAGTATCAAACTTCTGAAAAGAAATTTTTTCAAAGTAAAAAAAAAAAAAAAAATCTACAAAATTCTATTCTTGATTTGTAATTGCCAGTTGCTGCCACATTTTTCTGAGCCCTCTTTATTGCAGCGTGGTGAAGTGCTGTCACTGAAGTCATCTGATGAGTAGAACTCAGGTACAGGGCTGGGTGTCCCCTTTAGAATGGCAGAGCCATGGGTAGTGTGCTTTGCATCGTGGCGCTGGTACACCCCGACCTGGAGCACCCTGCCCCATCCTGCCCCTTGGAGAGGACGTTGAGGTACTGCTGTGTGGAGTACCTGACCTGCCACTGGAGAAGGGACTCTCTTGAATTGGCTTCCCAGAGTGCAGAGAAGTCTGGTGGTTTAGGGGTTAAAGCCTTCAGCTGCTGACCGAATGGTTGGTGGTCCAAACCCCTATCTGCTGCTCTGGGGGAGAAAGAAGAGACAGTCTGCTTCTGTAAAGACGGACTGCCTTGGACCCCTGCGGGAGCCACTTTACTATTCCCTATAGGGTTGCTGTGCATTGGAATTGACTCGATGCCAGTGGGTTTCCCAAAGTGCAAAGAACCAAAACTTGTGCACCTGAGCTCATAGAGGGACACGAGGAATGATGTCCCTGGTTCTCCTCCTGGAACCATGTCCCCACAGGCACAGCCTGTCCCCAGCCAGGCTGAAACATCTGTGCTTCATCGTCATAGAGCCAACTGGGTCCTCTAAAGCATGGTTATTTGACTGCAGGTCATTCTCTCCAAAGGCCTCTTGGGTCTGCTGAGTGAGCGGTGGAGCAGTCCTCACTCTGCAGGGAGGTTGCCAGGCCCCTGCCCACAGCCTTCTGGAAGCCTACACATTCTGCTTGGACGGAGACTGGCAGAATTCCTACGGGCATCTTTGTCTCACTTCGGGTGTCTGTTACGTTCACTGCTCCCATGTCAAGCGCCTCCAGATTCTTACTTCCAGGCCCCAAAACATGTGAAGTTGATTCTATAGACTTAGGTGGTGTAAGTGTCCTGTTTATGAATGTTCAGACCTGCACTCAGTTTAGTTTTATTCTGAGTAAGGCCTTGTCTTCTCCCTGGCCCGTCAGTTCCCATGAGGCACGACAGCTCCCTTGGTGAGACCTCGTCATGTTCAAGCTTGTCTGGGAGAGCACACGACCTCCACCTGCTGCCACCTTCCTGATTCCTTCCCTTGAGTATAATGACTGTCTATCAAAGAAGTGAGCGCCCTTCAGATGGGAGCTGCAGAGCAGCTTGCTCCATTTCTGTAGCTGGTGATTTCCAGTTTCCATTAGGTACTTAGTGTTGAGTGCTTCCTGTATGCCAGGCACCATTTGCGGAGTCAAGAACCGAGGCACACAAAGCCCTCATGGAGCTTAGGTTCCGTGATCTAATACATGGATTACTCAGGCCTAGCTCAGTCAAAGACCGGTTCAGTGCCACCTCCTTCATGAAGCCTTTCAGAATGCCTCCATCTGTTTCCTCTTCTTCTCAGCCTCGCATGGAGTTTGTGCCTCTCTCATACCGTATGTCACATTCCTGCAAGTGTGATACTTACATGATCCCAGGAAACACTGTGTAGTGGGTCTTACACAGAAGAGCCTAGACTTTTTCTTCCTTGCCCAGGGCAAATGCGGGGCTTGACTGAGTCGTAGCCAGTCCATATTCCTGTGGATGTGCCGCCTGTCACGCCTGCACAGGGTCTTGACAACAGTTGGGGCGTAAAGAAAATAAATTAGATGAATAAATTGCCATGGGGCCTGTGAATTACCTAAACCTGCCTCTTCTCTCTGTCCTTGCTGCCCCAAAGTTAGGGACAGTGTCTGCCTCCCTCCCCTTTGACCCTGAGTCAGCACCTGAGAAAGGGCCCAGGTTGTGTTAACTGCCTGACTTTGTCCCTCCCCACCTCTTCCAGGTGGTACTGAAGGAAAGGGAGGCTTACATTGTCTGTGGCAATGTGTCAGTAACACTGTTGTTCAGTGGAATGTGCTAGCACTGAGTTTTTAATCAAAGTCTGAGAACCTAGATTTTTAAGAAGTGAGTGACCCTGCTTCAAATGCGTCATCTGTTTATGGAGGATTATACCCTTTACTGATCTGGTGGGTAGGCCAAGGAAGGAAGGGGACGGCAGTTAGTAGCATCCACCGTCTAGTCCCAGCGTCTGGAGCAGCAGTGGGAGTCAGGCTGGCCTTTACATGTAATCGCAGGATTAGGAGGAGTAACTCCCGCTCTTTTGAGCTGCAGCACGCAGTCGATTCCAGCACCACAGAGATAGCTGACACAGTGTCTGTTTAAAGGAATACCTGCAAAGGTTGATTTTAATTTACTTTCAGAGTTCAAAATACTTAAGAAATTAACAAGCATAGCAAATGATTTGACTCTCTGCCGTTACGTTTCCTTGAGTATTATGTTCCATTTAACTGGTAGAGCCCGCGACAAGGGCTCCGGAAGGGACCAGGCAGTGTCCGGGTCGTCACTGGTCTTCAGTTGGAGACCCAGCACCTTAGCTAGCACAGCTCTGAACCTGCTGAGTGTCTGCTGTCACCTGAAGTTTCTGTGGCCACTTTTTCCTCTCGGGAGATCAGCAGCCCAGGCTTGTTGTTGTTGTTGTTATGTGCCGTCGAGTCGGCCCC